CGTAGGTATTCGGAGCTTAATTTTATCTCTGCTCACTATTCCCGGTGATTAATTCGAATCGGCCAATCAGAGGCCACTGAAAGTCTCTGGACGTCACTGGAACTTCCATTCCAGTCGTTGGAATGGTCCAGTGACATTCGATTATTGGAAGTAGTATGCTTCCAATTCCATCCAGTTAAGTCCAGTGATCCTCCAGTTCCAGTAATTCCAACTGGAACGTTCCATGAACAACACTGCCTTTATAGGTATCTATAGTAACCTGTACATAATTACTGCAAAAATTAGTTCGTGAAAATTACCAAAAAATTAGTATATTAACATTCTCAGTTTTAGTAATTTTTTATGTACTATATGTATCTATCTTTGATAAAGCTTAAGCTCTGAAAAAGAGTACTATTTGCTTAACATCATAAAGATAATAATGAAATTTTACCATTTAAGGCCATACCTCATTATTTGAATTATATACACAAGCACCTACTTTTGGCGCTCCCCCTCCAATATACAAAATTAAATTATTTAGTAATGTAGCACTGTAACCTTGCGTTCCATTATACACTAGTGCTGATGAAAATGTGAACCAATATAACCGTGAAGAATCTAATATATTCATTATATGAATACCAGATCCGCCATAAATATATATTTTATGTCCCGAAATTGTGCACTGAACAAATTTTATCCCTTGGCCAGGTTCCGATCCAGAAGTAGTTAGTTCATTCCATTGTCCCAAGTCTGTATCAAATTTACTAACAAGATTTCCAACATTATCCCCACCAATATAAAAGATTGTGTTCCCATCGGCACAAGCTGTTGCTCCAGTTTTATTTGTTACACCATCAATCAACGATAAGGATAAGTTCCAAGGCATTGAAACTTTATTAGTCGTATCAAAAGGATTTGAAATATCAAGATAAAATAACTGATTATTAGCATATCCATAACCGTTCCACCCGCCTTGAAAGTAGAGTTTTTTACCGATAAGAACTGCACTATGCTCTCCCCTTTCTTGAAGAACAAGTGCAAAAATTCTCTTATGAAGATAAATAATATAGAAAAAAAGAACAGCTATGGAAATAATTTTCATCACGGTTAAATAATTGACATACGATTAAAAAACCATACATTTTTGTATGTAGGTATATACGCATCTTAAATATGACTACGTAAGTGTACAAAAATTATAAGAGCGAATCATGAAACTCATCATTTCAAAATAAATGCACAAATTTCTATCTCGTAGTACGGTTAGAATGTTTATGTGGCAAGCATCTTGTGAACTTCGAATGTGAATAATGTTTTAGGTGTGGACACTGTTGTACAGAGAATCGATCAAATGAATAAGATCATTAAACTATTTATGGCATAAGAATTTTTTATTTCGAACCTAAGAACTTTGTGATCATTACGGTGAATTTTTACATTATTGTTCGATCAGATGACTTTATTGAAGCACATATGAAAATTCCGTTCGCTATCCCTAAAGGCTCTACCTAACTAATCTAGATACATTGAAAACCAAGAATATAATTTCTACAACTAGCTGATTTATCAACCCTACTTCCCAGAAATATTTACACACCTAGACAGTGTTGCGAAATTTCGATGTCCAATTGGTTTGGACATATGGGTCTTTGCCTTGAAAATGACCTTACGGTACATGATACCATACCGTAAGGTCATTTTCAAGGCAAAGACCTCATATGTCCAATTTATTTTGGACATATGTCAAATTGACTTTGAAAACAACATTACGGCGGATTTCTGGATTTGTAAAATACCCAAATTTTGAAAATTTTGATCACCGATTATGAGTCATTTAATTGATTTAATATATATGATATACTTTTTGAATTTTCTGTTATCCATAAAATACTGACGGTCATTGCAAATTAAATTGTACGTTCAATTTAAATTGGGTTATCTGAATTGTACATAAATTAAAAATGGGTTATCTGAATTGAACATAAATTAAAAATGGGTTATCTGAATATTGTACAGAAATTCAAAATGGGTTGCGCTAATGGGAAAAATGGATTGAACGTATGGGAAAATGGGTTATACTCAGTGTTATTATAGATCGGAGTGCTAATAATTTTTCTAGGGGTTCAATCTTAAAAAATAAATAATAAATTCTGTCCCTAAACTTATCAACACTGCACCTAGAACCTGACACTAATCGGCCTTACTTCATTCCTTACTACCAACTAGTGATTCGAATCGACTAAAATTTTTTAGTTGACTAGTCAGTCAACTAATTTTATAACTAGTTGACTAGTAGTATAATAAATAAAGTAAATATAATAAACTGCAATTTATTAGTCAACCAATCAAATATTGGTTAACTATTGGTCTATATTAGTGGCAAATTAGAGTATTTCAAATTTCATGCGCATGGAATTTTGGCCCGCATTATGGCAGCTTGCTGCTAATGCGGACCGAATTATGAGGTTCTGAAATATTCCGAAAACTCCGAAATATTCCCATGCGCAACATTAGTCTATATGTTTATTGTTTCTATTTTAGTTGATTTTTAGTCGACTAATAAATTTAGTCGATTGGTTGATTTTAGTCAACTTAGTCAATCATTACTATCAACCATGTCTTCGAAAAAAAACCTATACTATGCACCCCCGGTGCAAGAAGGGAAACACAATCTAACCCGATTATATTCCAGACTGAAATTTGTATAATGTAAGCTAAGATTTTAATGATGGTATTATTCCAATAAATTTATTTTACATTTCATAGCATACTACGTACGTACGCGCCCAGAAAATGTGTACAGGTTGGGTTTTGGATGATGGTCCGGATGATATCCGGAAAATGTCTCCTTTTTTTTTTTTTTGCTAAGATAATATAAAGCAATTTACAACACATGTCTAATGCAATGAATAATACAAATAGACAAGAATTCACCATTTAATATTTAACCATCTGGTTTGTTTTTTGTGGCGTTCTTCGATTTATATACTCTTTATGCAGTTTGATCATTCTTTACGCCCTTCATTTCATACTGATCAAAATTTTCTTTCTGTGATTATGATGAAATTTGGTGTCGATAGAGATTCGAATTTTTCATATCCTTCAATGCCGGCAAGAAGTTGGCTATTATTCTTAACTTATTAATGAAACGTTTAAAAAACTTTTCAATAGATATTATATCTTATTAGATCTTCGTTGGTACATAGTCATTAAATAAATTCTAATTATTTTAATTTAAAAAAATGTATTTTATTGACTGTACATGGTCTTCGTCAACAGAAATCGCATTTTAAATAAAAATTTTTTTCCGTATTTAATTTTTCTTTTGTAATTTTTTTCCGTATTTAATTTTTCTTTTGTATTTTTTTTCGTATTTGGTTTTTTTCGTATTTGACTTTTTTTCGTATTTAACCTTTTTTCGTATTTAATCTTTTTTTGTATTTAATTTTTTCACATTTGGTTTTTTTTCGTATTTAAATTAATTTTTTTCGGCTTTAAATTAATTTTTTTTCGTATTTAATTAAATTTTTTTGTACTTATATTAAATTTTATTTTCTCATATTTAAACTAATTTAAATTATTTTCACAGACAAAAAGAATGTACATGGGATAAGCTTGAAATATCTTTGTGCTTATATTCGAAGTGAAGCGAAAGTTGCAATTTGTAATCTAGTCAATTTTTTATATCTGATATTTAACAGATAACGCTGTAGGAATTATATGATATTCTCGTTATAGTTATAGTAAACTTTTGCAAAATCTTGAAAAATTTGAAAACCATATTTTGAAAAATGGTAAGAAAAATTTTGAATACTCAAGAAAATAAAAATTTTTTGAACAACTTGGATATTTGAAATTTTAAGTTTTCATGAGTCAAGAAAATAAAAAATTGTTGAACTACTTAAATAATTGGATCAATTTGTAAATTTTAAAATTTTGAATGAATCTCTGAATTATTAAAAAAAAAATAAAAAATATTTGAACAACTTAAAGCACTTTTTTTCTCGATTTCGTGGCGATGCTAAGAGGTAGCATGATTTATTTTATCCAATTGGAGATGATATATCATCGTCCAATCAGAACTTGGAGGAAATTAGGTCGTCCAACAGAAATAAGCAGTAGTCTTTTTTTTTTTTAAAAAAAAAAAAGGTGATTCAGAATTAACTTATTTTGAAAATAAGTGGGGTTAAAAAAAATTCTTATTTTTTTTGAAAGTTTGAAATCAGAAAATGAAATAAGATCATTTTCCCGATAATATGCTATCATTATACAAAAAAATAGAATTAATAGATCACTTATTTCGAAATAAGTACGTCTAATTCTATTCGAAATGGTCATTAATTCTGAATCACCTAAGGGAATTGGAACTTGATAATAGGGGTTTCAGAATTAACTTTTTTTCAAAATAAGTGAGTGTTTAAAAGGTCCTATTTCCTTTTTTAGAATTTCGAATCAGAAAATTAAATAGGCATAGCCGGTGATAAAATTTAACTTTTTTTTGATAAATATTCATCGGTAAACGATTATGTAAATAAGTACATACTTTAAAAAAAGTAGAATTGTACTGTACGTTGCTTATTTTTAAATAAATACGTCACTTATTTTATCTGAAATCGGACGCCGAATCATTAATTCTGAAACCATATTTTTATTATTAAAATATAATAAAATTCGATTTTTTTGTTCATTGTAAATATTAAATTCTTGAGTCTAAAACAAATTTAATTGAATTTAAAATCAATTTAAGTTGATTCCGAGTCTGTAGATATTCCGTATCACCTACAACACCGATGCTATTTATATTTTTTAAAAGTTTTTGAAGTAGAGAATTATAAATGGGTAAATCTGATATAATTTATTTTTTTTAAAGTTTTTGAAGTAGAGAATTATAATTGGGTAAATCTGATATAATTTATTTTTTATGGCAAATTTAATTTTTACCATCTTAGCTGGCTAAGTTGAATAAAAATTTTAGCAAGTTGCTCGCTAGTGACAATACAAAATATCTAGGCATTTTAATGTGCGATTCTGAGTACAGAAATTTTTTTGTAATGTCGAACAATGATTACAATTGCAACAGTAAAGATAATAATTGATAGACCTAATCCTACGGATAGCCCTATAATTACGTCTTGCGGGTCATTAATCGCATAATTAGGTGTGGTTTGTAAATTATTCTTCAAATATGTCTGACTAATCAAATTATCTTGACGTGTATAAATATTGTCACTATTGTCAATACCCCATAAAATGCCATCAATAGAAATTGCCACATATTTGAGTGAGCCATCTAAAATACGCCAAGTATTATTAACATATTGATATATTTCATTATTATCATTTACACCGACAATGAGCTCTTGACTGCTAACGTAAATTTGTTTGAGCTTGTACCCTATTAGTAATTAATAAAGCTTAAACTTATGAAATTGAAATTTTAACATACACGAAGGAAATACTAACCAGTTGTATCCAGCCCACTTATAAATATTATGGTCGCCATTAACACCCCAAACTGTCCCATCAGAAGCTACTGATACATCAATCAAAGCACCGCCAACTAGAAGTTTGAAAATTTTCAGCAATTGGAATAAGAAGCTACCGGTTTGATTTAAATTTACAGACCTTGCGCCCATAACCCATTAGGATTTATATCACCATTAACTCGGAGGTAAATATTGTTTAAATTGTTAACTCCCCAAACATGAGTTTCATCGCCAACTACGAAAAACAATAAATAAATAATAAATATAAATAGTGATTCAACAGAAACGAAGTGGTAAGAATTAAATTTGCCTGATATTTGGACCAGTACGCCACTAATTTGTATCCTATAATATATAACAAAATATGCAGTAAAGCCATGGATATAGATTAAGAGCAATATAGTATTTACCATGTATAGTCAACCCATGTATAAACGGAACCGGCTCCGTCAGTTCCAACTCCAACATACGTAGCGGCTCCAGGAACTTGATGCCAAGCTCCGTTTATGTATCGAAATATCTGTAGTATTTGAAAGGTTAATATTGTATCTGTTCATTATAATTAAGAAAGTTGAAGTACAGTATATTACATTATCTTGTGAGTTTACACCCCACACGTTATTATCCCATAATAGTTCGTTTTGATTAATTGCTTTGAGATTGATAATTTTGTATTCACGATGATGTCAAGTTAAAATTTCTTATCAAGGATTTACAGAAATAAAATTGGCTAAGATATATAAAAAAGCGTGTACGCATGTACATACATACAGTGCTGAGGAAAGTATTTATGATTTCTGATTGTATGATAATATTCCACACTTTACAATAAAGTAACTGATAATATTCTACGAGCAGAAATTGCGAATACTTATTTCAATAAAATAAGTTTGAAATGGTTGTCTAAAAATGTATATATAACAATGAGGTAGTATGACTTCGATATTACGGCCTGGGGAGAGACTTACGTCAATGACTCCAAGCTTGACTCAGACCGTAGATAAAGGTTGATGATTATTATTATTATATTAGTTAAATTACTTAGTTATTATGCATACGATCTATCTGCAGCAACATTATTAAGGATGATGTTTCAGGGTCGAATTTAAGTAGCAGTATAATTAAGATTTGTTGTTTTCATATATAAGAGGGGTACACTTTACTAATTATTGCACAATGGATTATTTTTTTATTATATCCTTTATTGCATTGACGACTAAAAAAATTACTTTATTCGTTTTTATCAAATGATCATTTCATTGGTAATTAATTTCACTGTTATTGCGAAGGTAGGGCAAAAAGTAACTTTATAAAATATGGCCTAACTAATAATAAAATAATCGATTTATTAAATTCATAAAACCATATCATAAATGAAAATAAGTAATAAGTTTAACAGTTATACTGTATTTAACTAAATTATATTAGAGAATTTGGTTGGATTTTGAATTCAAATTATGTCTTACGCTTTTAAATGTACTGTGTTTTGCGGAGTAAAAACCTGGGAAATTATATTTAATTATACCCAGATTATAATACTATAATAGAATTGAGTACTGTACTTAAGGGGATACTGAAAATTAAATACTGTACCAAGAACAGAATGAAAAGGAGTGTATGGTAATATGAAGAATGGAATGGTGTATGCAACTTTGTACGTTTTGTTGGATACAATTTGGCATGTCAATGTTTTTGCATTTGTAGTTTGCACAGATCCAAAGTGTAAGGCAGATTTTCTAGTCATTTGAAAGAGACGAAATTTTTTAAGTCTCATTTATATTAGGTTAATGCTTGGGTTAGAGTTAAGATTCACAGAGTTGGTATGAATGGAGTTCAGACAATGGACATTTGTCTGATATAAAAGCTCATTAAAAAAATAAACCTATATGTTTTACGCAAAAAAATCAACAAATTATATACTAAAACTATAATTTAAAAATTTTGTTTTTATATAATTACTATCAGAGAGAATTTCTTTTAGATGTTTATAAAACGTTTTACATGCTTTTTTTAAATATGTGTAATTTTTTGAAAATAAAATTAAAAGCTGGGTTGCTGTGTTATTTTTCTTGTATTATAAAATAATAACTTTGGGATGACCTAATTTTTATTTAATTTATATTTTTAACAATAATATTAAAAGACTTCATGTTAACCAAAATTATAAAATATAATTTATCTATGGAGATACATATTTTTTTTATTATATTTATCATTTGAATATAAAATTTTGTCAAATAATATTGAAAGCTAAGAGTGGGTTTAATTAAAATTAAATAAAGTTTGTTAAGAAATCAATATTTTTACTTAGAACTTCATAGTTTATTAACTATTTTCTGAGATATAGTAATTATATGTCTAATATCAATAGGGTTCCAAAATTACAAATAAGTGTCGCATTTCGAAAATATGTGGGATTTTTTCAATAATATTTTTACTGTATTGATTTATAAATCGGAAAAAAAAACCAAGATTCCTAATTTTAATTTTGAAACCCTAATGGTGTATTTTAGTAAATCCAGCTAATAATATAATACTCTAAGATTAAATATTAAATTATATAGTATATAATATATATATATTTAAATTCTATTTTTACTATTAATAGTTTAATATTAAAGCGAAATGCGGTTGTAACTAAAATTTAAATTTTAATTAAAAAATTTGTTGATTTATTTGCAATGCATTTACATTTCACAATCATTCGTTAAAGAATTGAACTTGTACAAAACGAAACTTTTCAATTCAATTGCGACAAAACCAGTCATCACTAATAGATTTCTTAATTGAGTTCAAGTTGGTTTAATTTCAATGGATAGTCTTCCAGATTGAGACTTTAATTATATCTATCACATAAGCTAAGTTTTCTTTAGGGCCTAACCCGAATTGAGATTTATTCCTTCAAAAGTAATAAGTGTGCGAGAAGTTTTACAAGCACAATTAATGTCATAAAGAGGCAAAATTGCCTCGCGAGTGGCTGTCCTCTCAATAATCACGCTTGTAATAATTACTGTAGCTGGAATATATGACTAAAATATAAGCATAAATAGCTTTGTGATGTATTGCTGTTTAAGTTGAATTTAAACGCTTTTAATTTTAAAATTGAATATGCGCTAGATGGAATCAGAACCAACTTTAAGTTGGTTCAAATTCTTTACAATTTAAGCGGATTTAGAACTTTGTCTCAAGTATATTTTTAGAATCAACTTATGTTGATTCTAAATCGGCTAAGATTTCATTCCGACGTACAGTACCCTCAGAAAGTATATCACGGTTACGCAAAAAGCTTAACATAAATTTATGCAAAAAGTATACATGATTTATGTGAAAAGTATATGTAAGTTATGTAATTCACGCAAATTGTATAAATGAATCAGATTATTAATCATTTATCAATATATACAAAAGAAAAAATATATATTCATCACTGAAGCCATGCCAAGGAATATTCAATTAACCGACTTTGAAAAAGGACAAATTATTGGAATGCATAATGTTGGAGCTACTATAATTTGTTTAGTAATAATATATTACTGAATTTGTACGTATATAATTGTTTATTATTAATTTTCTAGCAATAAATTTACTTATTTGGAAATTTATGATAAGTTTTCGTGTAACCGTGATATATTGTACGTACGTACGTACGTACAACATTATCTGTTATCATTTGAGCTGTTATCAATAAAAATAAGGCAGATAGGCATAATTGATACCTTAATTTAATATTCAAAAGAAAGTCAAGATATGAGCTGTGAAAATTAAGGTATCAATCTTTTTTTAAAATGTCAATCTGCCTTATTTCTATAGACAGCAGCCCATTTGATTCATATATTCACACGTTAACAATATAATTGGTATACGGACTGTAGATCATACAAAAGAATCGAAATTCTCGATTTTCATTGGTTTTTTCACTGGATATTGCATACTAGATAAACTCTTTGACAATCAAACCCAGACCACAGAATATTGAACATAAAGACTAATTATATCAAAATTCGTTTGCACATATCATAAACAACTTGCTTTCTGTAAATTTATTAGTTTGGTTGTTACATTTAGGCGTTAATGTAACCTTCTACAAAATTCGGGTTATAGCAAGAGTATGCCATATAAGATAAATATTTTTTATTTGGTATGTTTTTCGAATACCCCGGTCTTCTAAATAAACATCAAGCTTTATTACTTTATAGAGGTTGGCACACGTTTTTGTTCAATGATATTAACAGTGATAAATATTTTGTTCTAAATTTAACATGAATGAAGCTTTTTACTTTATAGTTTGACCAGCAAGGATTCTGATTGTCATATTTTGTAAAAAGTAATCCAAATTTTAGGGTTGCATAAAGAAAATTATTTCCTAGTTCAAATAATTTTAATACAAAAAAATACCTAAATGTTAAACATCAATGTAATAAATGTGTGTAGCATGTAAGTAATTCTCAAGTAAAGCTTCGTGACATTGCAAACATAAGGGTCTGTTTTCTTATCATTTTTTCACAGAAAACGTTCGAGTCATCCATACGATCCTCTGAATCAATACGTAACAGTATTATACGCTGTGGAAATAAGTCTTGTAAAATAAATAAAATAAATAAAATCGCATTTCGCTTTCGCCTGAAATACTTTTAACACCGAGCGTGAAGTTTAAACGCATAATCTTATATTTTTTGCCGCCGTAAATATTGATCAATGAGACTTAAATTTGTTGGCAGAAATCGCCTAAAGCTTAATTCATCATAAAACCGTATACATTCGTATTATCTACATAACACCCTGTTCACTGTATTGAAATATTGATTTCATATTAATTTATTCACATTGCAAACCGACAATTTACAGCTACTATTTAATATACAGTACATACAAAACAAATGTAACTATTAATAAGTATTAAGAATTTCTTATTGTAAGCTAAAAGCAACTATTTTTATAAATTTGATTTTGTGAAAGGTTTAAAATATTTATCCTCTCATAAAAACTTATAATACTCATTTGAGATTTGCAATTCACACAGAGGGTCGATGTCCACATTTTTGCCAAGCTATTATAATAAGCCAAATTCATAATGGTGAATTAAAATATTAATTGGAAGTAATACATATATTTATTTGGGATTCGTAATTCTCAAAGAGGGTTAGAGTTGGCCCCGAAACCCTTTCCACCAAAATCCGAAAGTTTCGGGTTTCGGATTATAGCTTCCGAAACCTTATC